TGTGGGGGGGGCGCTGCCCTGCCAAGGAGAGCGGGCAGAAGGGGACACGGTGCCCCCATCACCAAGGGACCGCTGCAGCCCCTTCGCCCCCTCGCCTTCGCGGAGGGCGGGACGCGGTGGGTCCTTCCACCTGCACCAGGGTAGCAGGAGAAACAGCATCCGGCCGCCGAGGTGCCCCAGAGCCGCCCCGAGGCGATGCCAGCAGGGAGCTAAGCACTTTAAAAGGAGATGCTTGTCCCTTCCAGGAAACATTTTGTCGCCGTTGAGAGCGCGAGGAGCCGGCGGGGTATCCCCAAGGCTCTAGTCAGAGTCGCTGAAGTCCGTGAAGAGGCTCTCCTGGCCGAAAGTGGAGTACCGGCCATCAGCCTCCATCAGGGCCAAGGCGAGAGCCCACTCGAGGATGCAGAGCTCCCCGTCCTCCTCGTCCGAGCTCTCCGACAGAGCGGGCTCCAACTCCTGCAACATAAGACAAGGCTGAGCTCCAGCCCTGGAAGGACAGGCAGACACCGAGCCGGGGGCGGTGCGGAGGGCGCCCCGCTGCTCACTTACAACCGGGATCCTCGGCCGCCGCCGTCTGTGTCGGGGGGTCCGGCCAGCTGGGAACTCGTGCAGGTAGATACAGTCCGACTTAAACGGGCAGTGGCCGTGGCTCCGGACAAAAAACTTGCACCTTATTTTCCTAGGAGATTTGGAAGCATCGTTACAAGCTCGTGGGCAGAAACCGCACAGACACCATGGAAACACGGGGCCGGGGGGCACTCACCCCGTCCGGGCCTTGAAGGTTTCGATCAGCTTCTCCTTCTCATCCGCCTCCGAGACCCAATATTTGTGGGGGATGTAGTAACTGGACGTGACACGGCACTCCGGGCAGGCCCTGGGAAAAGGCAACATGCACGAAGGGTCTTCCAAGCCCGGAAAAAGTGAGGAGAAAGGAGCCTCCGGTGGGAGGACACCACCCCAGAGCCACGGTGGCCTCATCCAGCACCTCTGCGCTGGGCCAGGGCCCCAACACCACTGGGCACGAGAGGGCGAATTGCTCACGAGCATCCCCATCCCTGCAGCTGCATCCCCAGCCCCGCGCAGGGGGCATTTGGGCGAGCGGGACGGGCCTCCGGAGGGGCGACTGGCCGCGGTGCTCACTTGATGACCGCAGTCTGGAAGTCCCGGCTGCGGCGCCACTTGCGGATGCAGCCCAGGCAGTACGCGTGGCCGCAGTTGGGGAGGATCCCGAAGAGCCGCTCCTCCGGCAGCGCCTTCTCGTACACCCGGTCCATGCAGATGCCGCACACCACGGCCTCGCTCCGCGCCCTCCGCGCCGCATCGCCCGGCTCCGCGGCTGCCTGCAAGCAGAGCCGCGGCGTTTTGCAACCGTCCCAGCACTCGGTGCTGCCCTGCTCCGAGCCCCAAACCGCCCCCCTGCTTCATCGCTGGCCCAGGACACCCTGCAAGCCCTGTGCACGTGTCCACCGACATGGGGTGCTGGGGGCGAACCCCGGAGCCCACCTCTGCGCGCTGAGCCCACGTCGCTGTCTCTGCCGCCTCTCCTGGGCTGGAGGGAGCCGGCTGCCGTCCCAGCCCTCCCCGTTTGGAGCCTGAGGGCAAGAGAGCTCTTAGAGGGGAAAAGCACATCCCATCCCACCACCAAGGAGCCCAGCCAGCTGCCTGCAGGGCACAGGATTTAGCAATTCAGATCCCCACCCCAAAAAGCTGCTGGAAGGGCTTTACATAGACCAAATTGGGACCACCTCAGAGATGGAGGAAGGAGCATTTGGGCAAGGGCAGATACATGCATTGGGTGCTCCACCACCCCGGGACCCTCAGCCCCATCCCCCCTGTTCAGTCCAGCACCTACTTGAGGCACCCTGAGCACATGTTGGGCCAAATTCTCCACCAATGGCCCAGTTGGGGGAATTATCCAGTGCTGCATAGACCAAATTGGGACCACCTCAGAGATGGAGGAAGGAGCATTTGGGCAAGGGCAGATACATGCATTGGGTGCTCCACCACCCCGGGACCCTCAGCCCCATCCCCCCTGTTCAGTCCAGCACCTACTTGAGGCACCCTGAGCACATGTTGGGCCAAATTCTCCACCAATGGCCCAGTTGGGGGAATTATCCAGTGCTGGGATGTTCTCCTTGTCATCCTCCTCTTCCTCCTCAAACTGCACACTTGGAAACCTGAAGGTCAGCTGCGTCGCGCTGGGTTCAGCCGGGGCTGAGCGGCACCTGGCTCCCGCCCAGCTCCGGGCCAGCACCCGGGGCACGGCAGG